TCAAGGTTATTTTAACTTTGGTGCTAGCAAGATCAAATCTAAACACAGACAAGAAAAATTACATGGTGTCAAATTATGCACCCAGGATTTTCTGTTATATATTAAATTACCCAAATTCAATATTCACCATAATACATCCTTGTTTTCAGGTTACCACTGGCAGTAAAAAAAACCCAAATTCAATATTCACCATAATACATCCTTGTTTCCAGGTTACCACTGGCAGTAAAAAAAATAGCATATGTTCTAGTATTTTGCAGTTATTTTATGCCCACATTTTTTTATTATCTAGTGGCCAAATTAAAGATCACCCAAAGAGATTATGAATAGTATAAGAAATATCTGGATTTTAAATTCCTATTATTAGTGTGTATATTCACTTGTCACATCCATTTCTCCTGAGTTCTCCTAGTTTTCTTACTATCGTATAAATTGCTTGCTTTACTGTAACTACTCTTCATCACATGCCCAGGTAGGAAAAGTTGTCACATATATGAAAACTGGGTAGTAGTGATAGTACATGCATGTCTTGCAAGCAGGTTTGGCACCCAGCCAACTTTATAGAATGAAATTATCTTTGAAGATAAGTTGTTAGTGATTTGGGGTCTTTTAAATTGGGACCTTGTGCCAATTAATACCCAATAAATGTCTGCTGAAAGAATGAATCAAGAGATTGCTCTTGGCCAGCCTTTGGTTGAGCAACGGAGTAGTTCTAAATTCTTCCTTTGACCCAGCCTCTGACCTCAAGAACATTCCACTGTTAAAGTACAAAATTCAACGGAGTACATTTGAAGATCTAATTGGCTTTCTTAAGTGATTCATGAATTGGGCTAATGTCTACACCAGTCTTCCATGTAACTGCTTTAAAAAATATCAAGTATAGCCATCATTCAATTTAATATTCACTTTCTTTGGCTAAAACTTGGAAAGACTGTCTTGGTGATCAAATTTTCCCCCCAAAACTAGCAGTTATTTAATGGACTTATCTCAAAAGGATGTAACTATGGAAATACTGATTACAGAGAGAGATTGAGAAAGGTCATTTTTAGTATAATCCCCAGCTGATAGACTAACACGGGATAACAATAGTAACAGTGAAGGAGGTACCAGTTCACTACACTCTATTCTTTAGAATGGATACACTTAATTGAAGTCTCCCTATTATAACCCTGGGCAACTATACACCTCATGAAATCCATTCACTTATCATTCTAATTTGCCAACTCCTTCACAGTTCCATCCATAACTGGACAAAATGCTACATATTCCAACCAGTTAAAAATGCAGCAGGTTACAATTCCCCATATTCTAAATAGAACCTATACTTCTGAAACAATTTCAAGTCATACTAGCCTTTTGTTTATTACTGGCTTTTATTGGTAACTTGTTAGCCAGCCAGGCCTCCCATCCTTCATTAATGGAGGTGACTTTTACAAACAACATTCACACACTACATTTAACCTTGTTAAACTTTATCTCAGTTATGTTTCCATTTTATCGTTCCATTGGAAACATTTCATAAGCTAGTCATCATATTAACCATCCTAGCTTTCCTGTCATTTACAAATCTAATAATGTTTCTGCTGTGTCTTTATTCAAGTCATTTATGGAATCGTTAGGCTCCTCAGAGAATAGAAGCCTATATGAACACCAGTAGAGATCCCTGCCCAGGTTGACATTTATTTTCAATAATTCACTTATTTTAATAATTCAAATGTATTTATTAAGTTCCTATTAAAGAATATTCACCATATAAGGCATTGGGAATACTGTCGTTAATGAGACAGACACTGTCTCTGACCTTATGATGTTTAGAGTGGTCCACAAGCAATTGAAATAATTAAAATAAAGTAAAATAAAAATTATTATAGAATAAATTAAAAAACAGTCTATGGCTAAAGGAGCAACCTAGTATAAGAAATCTAAAATGAATATTCTTTAATACAGTGGTTTATTCAACTGAAAATGTGCACTTCATCAAGCCATAGTTGCTCCTTCATTCCACAAGGGTATCATATAAAGCAATTGTAAATGCTCTACTTAAATCAAGATACACAATATCTAGAATCATGCCTGGCACATAATAGACTCTTTTCTTAAGTGTTAATGACATTTCTAACAAGCTCCCAGTGATACCAGAGCCACTGGTCAATGGAAGAAACTTTAAGTAGCAAGAATTGGTAGAATTCCCCACTCCGCCTCCTTGACAATTGGGATAACATTTGCCTATCTCTTGTCTGGCTCCTTTCCTAATCACCCTGAGTTCCTAATGGTAAATATAAAGTATCTTAATGATAATTGCAATAACACTTGCATGTTTGTTTTTTATTTAATACTTTGGGATAAACTTCATCTGTAGATTAGACTAGTCTTCATTTATGTAACTAATTGTTCTTGTGCTGGTTTGGTATGGGTTTAGGTCCTTTAATATTAATCTTTTACAACCCTAAGACTACTCTCCTAGGAAAGAGGAATAAGTAAGATAGGAACCAGTTGGACTTGCTTTATGTCTGCAATTGATAAAACTATGTCACCTAATCTGAGAGGACAAACAGAAGTCAAGTCACCAAGGACCTGGAATACGTTAGGGTCAGCTTTAGGCTACAAGCTAGGATTCTTGATTTCTTATTCTGTTGGTACATCAGAATTAAAGTCCTTAGTTTCCATATTTTTATCTTAACACTTAGCCCACAATGCCTCCTCCTCTGATTCAATAAATTATAATAAGAACCTAGTATTTCCCTTGTTAGAGCAGGACGCAGAATGTGTTTCAGTTTTGTTGTTATACTACAGTCAAAGGAAAAGGAAAAGCCTAAGGATTATGTTAAGAAAGCCTAATAATCATTAACATTACTATGTTATTAAGTAACATATTTCATATTACTCAATATCTCAGAGGAGAAACAATGTAAGGAGGAAGAGATAAGGAGAAGGCGGAGGAGGAGGAGAATGGTAGTAGTAGTAGTAATTTAAGAGATACTAACAAAAGATTAAATATGATTTTCCATTTACTGTATCATTTTAAAGCTTGTGATTATTTAAAACAGAATTCTTGTACAATTATTTTTGTTTTATTCACATTATTATAATCACTTTTCCCAGTAAATACAAATTATTACTTAATAGGCTTGTCCATTTCCAAAAAGCTCAAAGTTGAGAAAAATGGTATTAAATCAATTAGCCATCATTTTCAATATAACCCCCAGCATATAGACTCAGAGGGATGGCAGGTAATTAGAACCTAGTATTTCCCTTGTTAGAGCAGGACGCAGAATGTGTTTCAGTTTTGTTGTTATACTACAGTCAAAGGAAAAGGAAAAGCCTAAGGATTATGTTAAGAAAGCCTAATAATCATTAACATTACTATGTTATTAAGTAACATATTTCATATTACTCAATATCTCAGAGGAGAAACAATGTAAGGAGGAAGAGATAAGGAGAAGGCGGAGGAGGAGGAGAATGGTAGTAGCAGTAGTAATTTAAGAGATACTAACAAAAGATTAAATATGATTTTCCATTTACTGTATCATTTTAAAGCTTGTGATTATTTAAAACAGAATTCTTATACAATTATTTTTGTTTTATTCACATTATTATAATCACTTTTCCCAATAAATACAAATTATTACTTAATAGGCTTGTCCATTTCCAAAAAGCTCAAAGTTGAGAAAAAATGGTATTAAATCAATTAGCCATCATTTTCAATACAATCCCCAGCATATATACTCAGAGGGATGGCAGGTAATGACGAAGGAAAAAGCCATTCATTAAATTCTTTCATTTAGATCAATGGCCACCTCTAAATAACAACTCCAGTCAGAATCCTAGAGAACTGAACAGTTGGATTAAGAGCAGAAGCAGCCCATTGCTCATCGAATTCCCTGGGGTCCCTGCCCCATTCAAGTCCCATATCTGTTTTCCCTCAAAGTAGTACCTCCTCAGACATTTTTCTTGGCCAGTTTCCTTACTCAGTTTCCAGTGATTTGACGTTATATTCTGGTTTTAATTTGCCCCATTAACATCAACACAACTGATGGGAGATGGAGAGGCACTGGATCTCACGCAGCTCCTTTTGCAGAAGGGTACTCTGCTGAGAGCTAGGAGCCCTGCGTTCTGTTCTCGGTCCTGCCAGTCCTGATCAGCTGTGGAATCTTGGGCAAATCAGTGAAGCCACAGTCTCCTCAGAGGATTGTCATGAGGAACAAGTGACACATGTGTAAGTGGCAATGACTATGGAAGACAGTTGGTACAATATGAAGATATGGATTTGAAGGGCTTGCAGTACAGCCCTGCCCTGAAAAAGCTATATTACCTTAGGCAGTCCCTCATGTACAAAATGGGAATAACTAGTCTACCGCACCTGCCCCAGATGGGTTCTTTGAAGACTGAATAGAACAGAAATTACAAAATGCCTGATATAAAACAGGCGATCAATAAGTGATTGTTACTTAAAGGCACTATAATTCCTTCCAAGAGATGACATTCAAACTATACAGGAGTTACAGGGGACAAGAACTCAAAAGTATACCAACATTCTATTCTCCCTTGCCTATAATTTATCCCTCTGTTCCCCTCTTATTGTTTTTAAGGTGGAACCATTTGGTAGAACAGATGAGACTGATTTTCATAGTGTACATTTAGAATCAATATTATGAATTTGACCTTAAGGCAACTAAATTAACCACCACAAGCCACACACCGGCAGGGTTTTTTTTACATGTAAATTTAAAACATTAGAACTTGTAGTTTACATGAAATTTAAATGGAGTTGTACTGGTTTGTACAAAATTTATGTTATTGGCCTAATTTATTTTTGTGTGCTTATGGAAATGGAAAAGTTTTTATCACTAAACCACCATCATGAAACCAAAAAGAAAAAAAAAAGAAAAAAGGAAGAAAGGGAAGGAGGGAGGGAGGAAGGGAGGGAAGAACGGATGGAGGGAACACATAGACTTGTGTTAAAAGTAAATCCAAGAAATCACAAATAGCCTTAACATTACCATCCAGGAAAGTCTGTTCAAGATAATCAATGATCTGAGTGGCCTCACAAATAATGCTTTCCCCGTGGATAAGGACAGGCACTTCTCCAGTTGAGTTCAAACGCATAAACCAAGGCTCATTGTGCTCACTCAGGGGCAGACTTACGTCATGTTCCTCGCACTTCAATGCCTTTTCAGCAATTACCAAGCGCACCTGGAAGAGGTCACACCGGTTACCACAGAGCATGGGGGCTTTCAATTAAATGGCATCCCTGGATACCACTAGGCAGCTTTTCTGTGCTTCCCTGAGTTATGAATGTTTTCAACATCCTTTTTAGCTACAGTCCTGTGCAGCATAACTACCATTGGGTCAACGACAGGCTGCGTATATGATAGTGGTCCCATAAGATTATAATGAAGCTAAAAAAATCCCCATCCCTTAGTGATGTCATAGCCATCCTAGCATCAGAGCACAACACATTACTCACATGTTTGTGGTGACGCTGGTGTAAACAAACATACTGCACTGCCAGTCATATAAAATTATGTGCATGCGTACTATTATGTACAGTACATAATACCTGATAATGACAATATATGACGGTGTTACTGGTTTATGTATGTACTATACTGTACTTTATCCCGGTATTTAGAGTTTACTTGTAAAACAATATATCATGTTACACCAGCAGCAGCCTCATATATCTTGTTTTTACATGTCTCTTGATTGCATCATTTTCTCTTGTGTGTAAATTTAATCTCATGTAGTTTTGTACATTAATATGCTGTACAGGCTTGTAGCCTAGAAGCCATAAACTGTACCATATTGTCTAGGTATGCAGCAAGCTGTACCATCTAGGTTTGTGGATGTGCACTCTGTGATGTTCTCAGAGCAACAAAATCGCCTGACAGTGCATTTGTCAGAACATGTCCCTGTTTAAGCCCCATGTCACTGTATTCCTGTTCTAGAATTAACAAGTCAGATATAATCTAATGTCTTGTTCCTATGGATTAGAAAAGATCAGTAATGACAATGACTCTGGCTACAATAATTCAGTCACCCTCCCCATCACCAATACTTTCTTTGTGCCCTAAACCTAATTATATTCTCCCCAAAGAAGAAACTGAAATACAAATATGCTAGACCTTTTGAAAGAGAATGGATGGGAACAAAATGGAGTAAGATCGGTGTTTGGGGCTGTTTGAAAGCGCTTCCCTCTGCCTCACTCTGCGAGGCCCAGGGGACAAGGCCTTCAGCCCAAACACCGAAAGTGATGCTTTTGGTCTTATTCCATGAGTGGCAGCGCCTCGGGCATAGGCTTTCCATCTCAGGCTGATGCTCCCTGCCCCCCACTAAGGCGCATCCCTGCCCTGGAGGGAGCTTTGGTGGGGTTAGGGCCCTGGAGGCCTGTTTCCTGGTGGGCCAGCGCGGGCCAGGCCCCGAGGGAGCTGTCCTGGTGCTGAAACCCGATCCTCTCCGCCCTCCGCCGGCCGAGGCCTTTACCTTTTGGGAGCTGAAGGAATGTGTCCAATGGTACAGAATGAGCTTAACCTCCGCCTCCGACCTGCCTTCCGCCATCAAGGGCGCGCCCCCTCCCTGCTCATCCTGCATCTGAGCCATTTCGAGGTGCGCTCTGTATGTCTCCCACCCGCACTGCCCTGAAAAGCTTGGGCAGTTTTCCCGCGATGCCTCTCGGAGCCTGGAAAGCGAGTTCGTGCGGACGAACGGGCCGCTGGGAAGTGTAGTTTCTGCAGCCAGAAAACTGTGGGGCAGCGTCTGCAAAACCGGGGTGTACGTGAGCCAGAAAGCCTCTGGGGCACGGGGGTCACCGGGAGGCGCAAGTAGGCGTTTTTCTTAGAGGAAACAACCTAAAGTGCATCCCTGGTCATTAAAGTGGGTAATGAATAATGTTGATAGTAAATTACTCGTTGGTTTTGGAGGTGGAGTAGAGGTTGCTCAGATATAAAAACAGCAATTTTCCAGGATATTTAGAGTTCCTCTGGGAAAGCCCTGCCTTTGGAAGAGGGGAAGTTCCAGGTGCCAGACAAAGCAACAGGATAAGGATCTAGGTGTTGTCATTAGAAGTGGAGTCATGCAAACTAATTTATCATTTTTAAAAAAATATTTTTTCTTTATTTCAGAGAGGAAAGGATGGGAGAAAGAGAGAAATATCAATGATGAGACAGAACCATTGATTGGCTGCCTCCTGCACGCCCCCCACTGCAGATGGAGCCTGAAACCTGGGCATGTGTCCTGACTGGGCATTGAACCATGACCTCCTGGTTCACAGGTCCACGCTCAACCACTGAGCCATGCCAGCTGGGCCAAACTAATTTATTATTATTATCATCATCATCATCATCATCATCATCAACAACAACAACTAATACACAATGGTGAGGAAAAATAGCTTAGTTATTAAATACAGAAATTTTTAGAACAGATCTACCTGAATTCATGTCCTGGATTTCCAGTATTTCCCATTTTTGTAGTGGAGATAATTAACTACCCTAATAAGGTTTTTATGACAATTAAGTAACTAAATACAATGTTAAAAACTTAAAACAGCCTGGCATGTTGTAGGTACTCGATGTTATTCACAGGTTCAGTTGACTTATAAACATTCTCTTTATAGGCATGAATCATAATTTGTACTGGTCTAGTTATTATTGTACACCTCTTAAAATGTGGTATCACTAGTAAATTAACGTACTAATATTACTTTGGATGCTCGTATAATGCATTCAGCAAATATTTACTGAGTATCTACTATATTCCAAGCATTATGCTTGGCACTGGGAATGCAAATATATATAAGACCTGATACCTGGCACCCAAGATATAAGGTTGGTGGCAGAGACAACAAAATAAATAGACGACCATAACAGAGATAAGACCTATATGTCTTAGAGTAAACACAAGGTACTATGAGAAAACAAGGCAGGTATTCAACTCAAGTTTTTTTTAAAAAAAGGGGGGGGGCCTTGGAAGAGACAAATCTCATAATGTCCCTCTCCCCATTCCAATACTTCCCACTAAAATCCACTTGTATGTAATAGAAAAACTTGATTATCCATTCACACCTTTATTCAGAGCTTCTGCTAAATCGTGCATGCATTCTATTGTTGTGTATCTTTGTACGTTAAGTTAGATTGTGGGCTCCTGGAGAACAGGAGCCAGATCCAGGTCAATGTGCACTTGTTGAGCTTTCCCTCTTTCAGGAACAGTGCTAGATGCAGAAGAGATGGAGGTAAAAGTCACAGGAACTGGCTTCAGGAAGTCAAGTGTGGAGGGAGAGAGATGAGATTACAACACAGCATGGCAATTGCTGGGTATCTAGGATGTTGTGATAGGAGTACAGACAAAGCCTCCTAACACAGAGTCTTCCCAGAAGAAGTGATGACTTCTACCATAACTAGTACCATACTGGTGCAATTACCAGCATATCTAGTGTTGGGCTACCACTGGCTCATACAGGCGGATGAGAGCTGATTGCTACATTTTAAGGAATTTTGCAAGCCGGATATTCAACATAGCCAATATTAAAAATGAGATAAAATTGAATTACCTTTAAATAATTTTTAAATAGAGCTAGCAAATACTCAAAACTCATTACTTCCTAATCATTTTGCTATGTTTATTATTGTCTACACTCTTGAAATTATGTATGTCATATATAAGGGTGTGTGGCTATGTATCTCTTCCTATCTCCTTGTTCAGTGATGTCATGTTAGTAGCCTGAAATTGGCCATCATAGGAGTATTTACACCATAGCAATTAGCTAGTGCTATCTATCATATGTTTGGTTTTTTCCAGAGAGTTGGATGTTAAACATTTACCTGCACACCATGGAGTGTATGAATTTTATTTAATGTTTAGTAAATTATTTTGATAATGATGATGATGATGATGATGATGATGATGATGATCAGGAGAACTTTGGGTAAATCTGAGAATGAATGAGTTTGTATATTAATCTGCTTTTGGTACCTTTTCCTGTCCTGACAAGCTTAGTTCTGCTTCCTTCTCCATGACTCAGACACCCACTACTCTTACATTTTCATTCTCTTCACTGTACTTTCTCTAGCACATCTTCCCAGCAGGAAAAAAAAACCATAAACCCGGGAAAACTGAATGAATTGATTATTGCATTGGTGTTTCATGTTTCATATTTATAATGCCCTATAGACAAAGTATAATGTAGAATTTCATCTAAAGACCACAGACCAATTTCTTACAGTCTCATATGATCCCTCTGATAGTCTGAGGTGGCTACCATCCCTAATTTATAATTGAGGAAAATAAGGTTTTATGACTAAAAGACTGGTCCAAAATCCTGATAAGTGGAAAAGCCGTATCTCAAACATGACTTTTCTGACTGCTAGTCAGGTATTATTTTCTACTACACTATGCTAGCTCTAAAACCAAAGAGAAATTTTTGGACTTTCAAGCTTTGCATGGCGTGGGGTAGACTTTGGGGAAAATATAGCCACTTTCTTGAAAATAACTCCACATAGGTATATATACTTCTATAAAAGCAAAAACTACAGTATCAGAAACTACTTTTATATGTCTTTCTTGTGCATTAGATTCAGAGCTTTGTAAGGTCAAGGCCCAATATTCATTGTGTTACCCCCAGGAATCCAAATTAGTGCCTGGTACATGAAAGGTGCTCTAAAACTGCTTATTAATTAATGGAGCAAGAGTCGATCACCAACAACAACAGCCACAGCAAACAATGACAACCAACAACTAACAACAATAATAAATTATAGCCTGTTTAGTCTACTGCTCTCAAAATTCTATGTGTACAGGTATTTTCATTTGACAGAATTTGGTATTTACAAATCTGGGCTGAGGATTATGCCTCTGTAAACTGACTGTCTTTTATATTAACATTTATTGAAATTCTTCATTCATTTATATATTCCTATATAAATGAAGTTAAAGTGGATTTGATTGATATTATGAAATAGCAGATCACATAACCTCTCTGAACCTGAGTCACCTTACCTATAAAATTACAATAGAAAATCTATCAGACATTCTGGCTACACAGAGAGATCCTGTTTAGGAAATTTCTTTGAGTTAGACAATTAGGATTTGTTCACTTTTCTTTATGTCTTATGCTTCAATCAGATTTTAAATTATAATTTAGAATTTTTATGGCTGACTGATGTATATATTTATAAAAGCTACTGTTATGTAAAGTCCTAAAGTCCTATTACTGATCTTCTTATATATTTTGATAGGTATTATGGGATAGATATAATTTTGTAATATATTTCAACAAAGTCAGAGATCTTGAAACCTTTTGACAAATTGGAATACTCTAGATTTCTGTTTTATAAAGTACTTTTATGAATGACCACAAGAGGTCTCTATTTTTTAAAGAAAAATCAATCCCCTGATAACTTTCTTTCTTGACAATTAGAATACAGAAACATCTCTAGTCTGTAAAGAATATATTTAACTAATTAAGCTATCTAGTTCAAAATCAAAATTTTCAAAATTGGAAAAAATATTTTATATGTTTTTAAAAAAATAGAATTTCCACTTTCTCCCGAGAGTAGCAACATTAATACTAACCAAGCACCCAGACTTAGCCTGTTCCGTCCTGACCCATGCCTACAAAGAATTGCAAATGCTCTGTAACTGGTATACGTATGCATAAGAAAAAAATAGACGGGATATTGAGAAGTTATTTTTTAGAATTTTTATCTCACATATGAAGAATTCTTACTATCTGATATTCTCAAGCATCTACAAAACTCAAAGTATTATCTAATCATGGCTCACCTGCATACATTAATTTGGTGAAAGAGTTGTGATGATTCTAGCTGGTTGACCGGAGCCCTAATCAACTTGACTCCTATGTTTGATTTATCAGCCGTGGTTTCCAAAGTGTGGCCCCCGGACAAATGACAGCAACCAGGAACTTATTACATTTTAGTGAATCAGAAAATTTGGAGGCAGGGCCCAGCAACTGGTGTTTTAAAAGGCTCTCCAGTTTTTTAAACTGACGGGGGGAAAAACCCCCATCAGTTTTTCTGATGCGTATTAAGCTTGAGAATTGCCAATTTAGTGTAGAATTGATGAATCACCCCAATTCTCAGTCCCTAGTTTGCCCCATCTATGAAACCTCAGGAGCAGAATGGTGTATGAAACTCAAAGGCTGACTTATGGTAGCTGGGAAAAAAGGTTAAATAATCTGGAACCATTTTCATAAAACAGCCTGGTTTAAAAAAAAAAGACATGGTGCCAAGCCACCAGTATATAGACTCAAGATACCAAGACTCCTCCACTTTTCCCTCAAAAACTGTAGATTACCCACTGTGGGCTTCTAAGAGAAAGTCTCCATGACCTTAGAATAGCCCAGACTTGCTCCTGACACTCTAAAATGTTTCCTCTGGTCTTTCTTGCATCCCAGAGCAAATAATCATGCATACCACCAAGTGTGCCATATTAATTCAGGAGGCTCTGTAGACTTACAATAATTTGATTAACTTTCTCGTTCCTCAAAGAATGTCTGCTAATGTAAATAATGCACGAAATTCTTTGTTTTTCAGTAGAGAGTTCACGTTGTGTTTCTGTCAGAGAGGGTGTCACATGTCGGCCACCCTCTCTCATCGTCTGTACTGTGAGGAATGGTGTCCTTTCAGAGGAAACACTTGACTATGGACCAGTAA